CAATTACGCCTCTTCCGGTGACGATTATGAACAATCCTCTAAGGAAGTGCATTATGAGTTGCAATATCAGTAGGAGTGTGAAAAAAAAAGTACATGGAATAGCTGAGATTACAGACTGCGAAGAGCGATGTAAACTCCATAATAGCACCATACCACGCCATCATGATGCGCTTATCCGTTCATCTTCAATCTCGACACAAATAATCGAGTAAATTATTGCTAATCTTTTACATTGAATTGTTGACAGATAACTAAATCAGATCGTCCTATAAAGAGTAAGCCAGTTGTGTGAGCGAAATCTGCTTTTGTTATATAGAAATTCTGGTTTTGGAAGAATTAGATTAACACAACACCCGGTAAAATTCGGATTATAATTTTTAACTAAGCTTTACTCTGCGATTTCCAGCATAGTTTTGCCTTGATCACTACTACATATTGTGCGGCGGACAGAACGTCAAGATCTTTTGCTCACAGCCGCCTTTGCAATATGCAAAAGAGCAGAGATTAAAGAGGTTGTAAAATGTGGTCGTCCCCAAAAACTTTGCCTTCGAAATGGAGGATGTAAGGTCACCAGAAATAGTTTATAATATTCTTGTTAAATACAACTTAAGTAAGTTTATACCCTTTTTTTATGCTCACATAATCTACTTCCAAAGAAAAAATTCCACCTCATTATGTAGTAAGAGTGAGTCTGCAAAAACGCATGCAATTTCAATCATTGCCACTCACAACAATCAACAGCAGCTGTCTTTTTGTCTTGCTTTTTTCTCCTTCGCAGCTATCATTGCTATGTGGTCTTAGAGATATTGAAAAAAAAATGTTGGAGCTACATTGAAGAAAGCGATCACACTCACACACTTTGTGGGAAATGGTTTCACTTAGTTAGAATTCCAATGAAATATGTTTTGTGGTATCTATCACCATCAGAGCAGATATCCAAGGGCCCATATTTCGACCAAGTAGCATATTTTTCTGCAATATTAGTTTGCAATGATCTGAGGTATTACAGAGCAGCAATTTCAATGGCAGTTTGACAGGCATAATATTATTCTGGCCTGATTTTTTACTTTAGCTCCAGCTTTCAAGACTTGTATCAATTTGAAAAAC